AGGGTAGACACATGAAGTTAAGGGGTTGGGCAAGTGCGTGCACAATGCCTGCACCTCTACCAGCCCAGCACTGCTGTAGCACCACCATACAGCCGAGCAGCCAGAAGAAAAGACTCCGGACTATACGGCAAGGACAACAGGCAGGGCCTGGCCTGGCCTGACCACACCAGTGCAGGCACATGATCACCAACGTACGTACGACGGCAACAACAGGTACAGAGCAGCATCGACACGTGGGACAGCATGAGGGAGGCTGCAACACAGGAGACAGACCAACACACACATGGCGCTGGTGCGGGTGCGGCCGTTGCTATTTTATTTCCAAAAAAAACATCACAGAGAGGGTGAGGGTGAGGCACAGACACAGAGGATGCACGGACGCCTGTCGGGACGGGATCTCACCAGTTATCGTTGTGTGTTGTCTCCTCGTCTTCCCCCAGCGTGCGGGTGCGTGTCGCCGCCTTCAGACGGCTCTCCGCCGCCGTGATTATCGCTGCTTTTATAGGAGAGGGAGAAGAACCTCTTCGGGGACACTCCGGGCGGTTTCCCGGGGTTTCGATCCATATGGATGTTTGGACTGTGGTTCTCTTCTATAATCCATGGATTGCAAATATTCGCGCCCCGGTCTCCCACTGGGAGACTGCTCCCACAGGCAGCTCCCCACAGGACGCAGACTGGCAGCAGGATAGGAGCTGCACGCACGCTTGGTTTCCAGGCCGCCAGCGGGTGCGAAACAAGAAGACAATCTGTATAGGTATGTTGTGGACACTACCAGAATTGAAAATGCCTTCCGGAACTATCGTATTTTCGCCCTCTCGGGTGCTGCTCGAATTGCTCCCGTATATCTTTTCGTGCGACGGCGTAGACTCGAAGATATTGCACACACATATACGTATGAGCTACATTCGGCAATACGCAGGTGACCACAAAGGGGAACGGAAGCCTAGGCCTACCAAGAAGTCGCAGTACACCGCCACGAACCAAACTGGCAGCAGCAAGCAGTCGTTTCGGATCGCAAAGGAGAACACATACGGTGGGTGAGGCTGGGGCGGTGGGAGAATAAGCAAGCAGCGCCGGTAGTCTTGGCAAATGTGGGCAAAATGATTTGTTGTTCGTGGCCCCAACAAGCCAATCGCAAGGAAAGCTACGGTGCAACTAGACTATACCTATGGTTTCCTCGTTGCCTGCTTGCGTTACGGCAGATCTCTGCCTGGTATGTAACTCCCCTACCCTGCTTCTCGCACAGAGATGCCACAGGAGCACTTAGCTCCGATTGCGGAGGCGAAGGAGGCGCGCGTTTCGGAGAATGAGGAGCCTCTTGGAGCCCCGCTCCGACTCATGACTCAGTTCTTGAGGGCAGTGTCCGAGAACCGGATGGAGCAAGCTCTGGCACTTGCACAAACAAGTACGTGAAAACTGCAGAATACGCGCAGACCTACGTACCTCTGCTACCTTGTATAATTCGCAAGCATGCATCAAGGAACATCATGCGGTGTGTGTGTCGCTAACTACTGTACACTACGGTACAATATGGTACGCTCGGTGTTTCGCAATGATCAAAGAGACGTGTTGGTACTCGGATTAACCATGAATTGCGAGGGTTACGACATATCATGGTTAGCATGTGCACAAAAGCTAAATAGTCTTTACAGGATTGATTGCGACAGCCTGGCCCAACCGAACACTGAGTGTGAGACGACAACGTCGTTGCTCGGGTTCAACCCCCTATTGTAGTGTACGCCGTTGTAAAACTCGAGCACATGTTTGGACAATCCAAGTAATACCTACGGCGTTGTCGCTGTGCACACCGGTGCTTCACTTTGCACGCGAAAGCAGTTTTGAAGTTCGAGCCTCGCAATGCCATCATCTTGGACTACCAGGCTACGCTGGCACAGTACATCAACAATGGTGAGGCCCGGTAAGCCGTAGTTTACTGGTTTTGACGCCTCTGCACCTCACTGTTCCTACTCCTCGACAGGCGAACCCCCGTACAACGGGGGAAGGCTCGTAGATCGGGCGAGCGAGCCACCCACCCCCAAGCCGACTGTTCTTATTCTGAGTGTTCCGCTGTCAGCTTGGCCCATGCATGATGTGCTACTTGCGGTGGTAAGCAGCTCAGACACGTTTCCTTCCCTGTCCTTCGCTTGATGTCCAAGAACGCGAGCTTGCGTCTGTTCGAGAAGGGGATGTGGAAGATGATGACGATGACAATGGCGATGACGATGACGACGGAGGAAGTGGCGATGAGACTGCCAGCGCAGCAGACGAGTCATCTTCAACTGCGACGGGTTCTGATGGTGGGCAATCCGAGAAAAATGCACGATGTACAGAGATACACACACACCCTAAGCCCCACGTAGCAGCTCTGTACATGGAGATTGAAGGTCTCACTGTTTGATTTTTTTCCGACTACGATTGATTGGCATGCACGTCTCAAGTGACACGATCGATAAACCAACACAGAATCGCCTAGCCACCTATTTCACAGCCAGCCGTGGGAGTGGAATGCAACGTGTATGCTCGCCATTCGCGAGAGCATGTGCGCCGAGGGGACGAGTTTCACTGATAGTTTTATGATGCAGCTCCTCATTGGTTGTTTCACCTAGCCACGGCTGGCTCTAGTCGTTATTTGACACGAACCTTGACCTCTCCCGTTTTGATGCATCACGTAGACGGGTCGACTGAGGAAACTAGCGCTGAAGAGATATCAGGAGAAGACAAAGAGGTAGCCGGGGCTCCTCGCGGCGATGCACCCTGCCAAGTTGCTCAGAAGGTTTCGTGGTGTTTTCCAAAGGAAGAACTGAACGTGCAGTCGTACTCAAGGACAAACATCAAACAACACTTGTCTATTGGGTGACGCTCAGGCGTACGTACATGGACATCACCCAGTAGGGTGGTTCAGAATCTCCACCAACGCAAGCTGTGTGCACAGCGCAGGGGCACGAAAAATAAAGCTCGGGCACTCCTAGGATGGACAGTTGAAACAACGGTGGTAGCTGGATTCACGACATTGACCCCTACGGACAAAAAACGTACGTACTGGATGGAATATGGTTCGCTCAGGATAATGATATTGGTCTGGTGCTGGAGTGTGATGAAACCTGGCGCCGTCTGCGTGGTTTGGCCCAACAGGCATCACGACAAGGATCTGTGAATGACAAGCAGGAGTTGCAGCGACTTGGCGGCGTTCTCCGTGACTTGAGAAAGACGAGGGAGGCAAGAAGTCAGGAAATTGAGTCTCGGTGGGACGAAGATAAGTTCGCTGCCAGCCAAAGGTACGGTCATCATTCCGAAATACTAGGTACAAGCAGTGACATCTCGCAAATGTTCACGCATCACATGGGCGACGCACCGCTCGCGGAGCAGGCAAAGCTTGTTTCCAGTCATTTCGTCTAGCCGTTGTGGATGTACTGGATTGCCGCGTCAGAATGAACGATTGCATCATTTTGTCCAAACACTTTGTCCTCCCTTCATGTATGTATATACTCATCATGCCGTAGCCTTTTGCGACTTGACGCTGGAGGTTTTGGGTGTTGAAAAGAACTGCTGTAGCCAACTTGGTTCATGACCATGAAAGGCGTCCCCGTCAGTTGGACAGGTACGGGTGTTAGTCGAGGTGATGAGCAGAGACCGGAACGTTATTATTGAAGTGAGGACGACGGCAACAACAACAACAACAGCATGTACGTTGAGTAAGAAGCCGAGATGGCGAGAACATTGCGTGCTTTGCATATTCTCGGCATTGTCAGGACCACGCAGCACGCGAGGAAAGAAGTGGAAGCGTTTTCCACTGTCACTGTACGTGTTGGTTGTATGACGGACGATGCCGCGTGTTCCCGACCGTCACACATCGAGATAAAACCGTTCGCCCGCACACTGCAGCCTCTGGGCTAAACCTGGGTGTTGTCAATCCCGTTTGTTTGTACTATTATTTCGATATCCGGGCGCCGCCGTTCTCTACCCTCCCGTGACTTGGTTCTCCCTAAAGACTGCTTGACATCCCGTGTGTTTCCCGCTTCACGTGCGAATCTCCCCCCCAGGGAAGTGGAAGCAGTACTATGGAAATTTCTCCCGGATGCAGCGAGGCAGGCAGCTGAGAAGAAGCGGGCAGCAGACGTCGCACCGGACCAACGCCACGGCGAGACCGCGAAGTAGCCGAGAGTATGGCCCTCTCTGTCTGTCTGTCTGTCTGTCTGTCTGTCTGTGTGTGTGTGTCTCTCTCTCTCTCTCTCTCTCTCTCTCTCTCTCTCTCCTCGAAGAAACGGGACGATGGCTGCCTACACAGAACGACGCGTCTGAGCTGTGCTGCTCGCTATGATGCATGCTACGAGGGGGCGGCGGACCAACAAGGAAAACTGCATGCATGCATGAACGTCAGCCGCGCTCGATATAGATAGGACCGGATCGCCAAAAGAACGGAAGCAAGAAGAGGCGTCTTGGCATGTAGTTTGGCACCGAATTGATGGAAGATCAGCCAGAAAAGACTCGACGGTGTCAAGACCTTCTTCACCTTCGTTGTGTGTGTGTGTGTGTTTCGTACTTTTTATTATGGCGACAGTCCCCCCATTTTTTGTGGTGAGACCTGCTGTTCAGTGTATGTACCGTGTACGGAAAGCAGGGATACTGTAGGTACATACACTCCAGTGTATTTGTTCGTACAACCTCAACCATCCAGGGTCACACAGGAGGGGGTAAAACACCAGGGCCATTTTCTTACTTATATATATTTTTGTGCCCCACCTTCCTGCGGTGCGTGCTGAATTTTTTTTTCATCGCGAGAAGGGTCCAGCCGTCCCTTTCCGTCATCAACGGTGCGACTTTCGAAGTTTTCTGGTGCTCACGAGAGCTTTTTCAGCTATATTTCGCTTTCACCCGCAATTTTTTGCAATTTTTTCAGCCCATGGGGATTCGAACTCACACCCTTTGCGACTAATAGCGGGTTTCGAGGATACCACTTTCGTACACCACCGGGGCGACCGAGCTGTGTAGACATTTCAATTTACGTGTCACAACACCGTGCGATCGTAAGCACATCCACATGTCACGTCTCGTCGCGGAGCTTAACGGCAATACACTGTCGTCGTCGTGGTGACAAGACCGGCATCAGTTCACCAGGAGGAACACCAGCGCGGCTCGACTTGACGCCCGGCAAGAAATACACATCATATTGGCGTTGGCTGCGCGGGGTAGAGCAGATCAAACGGTTTCCCGACGCAAAAATATGCGTGTCTACTCCGTCACATGTGGCAACTGCCCGAAAACAGTGAATACCTCTTCCCGAGACTTGAAGACAAACGCGACTCTTTCGTGCGATTCCTTTGATCAGCACGTCAACTTTGTTACTATTTCCATCCAGTAAGGCTACCCGCGGCAAGCCATCGTCCATGTTTTAAACGCTATACTGTGTCCCAGACGTACGTGTGGAATGCTCTACGTTCGGCTCAACCCAGCAGAAAAAAAGGTGGATCAAATGGCAAAAATCGGGTAACTCCTGGCGCCACGCGCGCACCAAATTACAACGACAACAGAGAACCTGGTCATTACACTGATAAGCATCTACGCCTTTGGGCTACCGGTCAACGCAGTAGTATCAACTGACCCTATAGCGAGTGGCAAATCGTTTGATGAACGGGCACCAACCCACACTACGAATGACAACCCAACATCAAGGAGTCCCAAAAACACATTTCCAACGCAACCATTCCAACCCGACTCGCCCCCAACGACCGCCGTCGCGACATACACTGCCTACCCCTCCGTTCTCTTCTTCCGCAACATTCCCTTCAAAACAAAATGTAGTCCCTGTGTTTTCAACTTCCGAAAAGCGCAAGGACTCCCATAAGTGCTCCCCTGGGTTCGCCGTACAAGCCTCCATATTTTGCGCCCAGCCCCCGTCCCTCACTTCCTTTCCCGGGCAAGAATCAACCAAACACAAACTCCCGAAACCCAATAAGGGCCAGGATAGGACATCCATTAGCCGGCAACACATTTTGACACTTTTTATTCGACACACTTGCGGCTCCACCACCGCGAGATACATTAACAATAGCATTCATGCAACCGTCGTAAGATCCGCCTACAACGAGGAGGCAAAGAGCGTCGACCATTCGCAAGGGCAAAGTGCGACATACAATTGTACGCCCTTCGCGTCGATCGAACAACCCGTGCCTGCCGGCTTTCGTAACATTACCAACTCTCTCAAGTTCTAAGCGCCCCCCCTGCGCTTCCCTTGATCAACCATCGAATGTCCAACAACGTCTAGGAGGAAAGCGCCCATATTTCCACCGCATGATATCCTTCGGGTTTTATCCTTTTGAAAGCAGGCGTTCCCTCGGCTCTGCTCTCGTGATATCTTTCCGCCACGCTTGCGACTGGTGAGCCTCGTGGGAAAAATCAAGTATTTTCCTTCGGCGCGGGAGTGCACGCGAATTTTTTTCGCAACACCCCTTACGCTGCTGTCTCGACAGCGCGCTACGAACAGCAAGCTCGCACGAAACACCACTACGACGTTTGCGGCACTCTTTTTTTACCCATCCTAGAATCGGGACGCGCACACGAAGCTGCAATTATCACCCGCAGCCGAATTACTTCCTCGGATACACCACCGCAGGGCCGTAAGGGAATCAAGTACCTGCTGGGGAAAAAGCGGAAACGAGGAATCATTTGCCTGCCCCCCAGAAGCCCCCATACGGCACCCCCACATCACCAAGATTGGTAGATGTGCGGCCGACAACACCAGTCTCAAAAAACAGGTACTTATCAAAACAATATTATTACTTTTATATACAACCCATGGACGCGAGCTTGCTAAATCAAGACCCAAGCACGTGAAATAACGACTTTCCCCGTGCGCCTTGCCAAACCGGGATACCACCACCATAACCCTACTACTGTATAGTAGACACCATTTGGATGTCTGCGCGGACGCCAGCTAGCCTGCCAGCCAGCCAGTTCGCACGCCGCGCGAAATGCGGGAATAAAGCATAAAGCATACGCCCCTTGAACACCCCAAGCTTGTAAACCAAGAACCCTCTGCTAAACTGCTGTGTCTTGCATCCACCACGCAGAAATGCGAGAAACTTGACAACACACGAAAGATAAAAAAAATCGTGTTTAATATAGACAGCACGCAAACAATCAAGAAGAAATAAAACAAAAAAAAGCCTTGTACAAAAAAATCGCCTGTCCATCGCCAACTCGCCCTTAGAATGGCCGCGGACGGGGGATTCAGGGGCGGTGGGAGGAGGCCATCTACATCAATGCAATTCAAAGTGTGATCAAAAACGAAACACTCCAGCGGTGGGGGGTAGGGGGGTGGGGGGGCTCCGCGAGACAACACGGGAGGTGCTGCGTGCTTTTCCCGCCGCCGCAAGAAGGCACGGCGATTCCGGCCCTCGGGGCAATCAAACAATAGTCCGGCGATATCGCGTTCCTCTCCCACCCGTGCGGTAGCGCTCGAGTGCCTTCCCCGGCAAGGAAGCCGTGACACCCTGGCCTAGTAGCCAGCCACCGGCCGTGCGTTGTGGTTGGATTTGCTGCGGTCGGGAGCACAGAAGCAAACAGTCGTCGGGAGGAGCGAGGTTGAGGACATGCGCCAGCTGGTGTGTTGGACAAACAATTGTTGCTGCTGCTGTTCAACCCCTTTGGAACCAGCTGCTCGAGACACCCAGAGAGATGGGACAGGGTGGGTGAACGGTGTCGAAGTACTCTACAGCAAGGTTAACAGTGAGGAGTCCGAGGAGGTGGCAACTCGAATAGTGGAACCGCCGATATACTGTAGTGGCATCAAAATCTCTTCGTTACACTCCCAACCCGACATAGTGGCATTTTGCCACTGTAGAGAACGGGGCCCTCATTAGTAGTCTTACGGGAATCTCACCCCCCCAAAAGTGGCCATCGAAACTCGGAGCCCCAAACCTCCTGCGCACTGCGCAACCACACACACCACAGCCAATGTATTGGGATTTTAGTTGATGCGGCGACAAAGAGGGTGGTCGTGGAAGGTACATATTGTTGTAACGAAAAAGGAAAGGGAACAACTCAAAAAACAATGAGGAACCAATGGACAGAGCAAGAGATTTGGGCAACAAGACTTGCTTATTGTACTGTAGACTGCTTTTATAATACAGCTACAGAAAGACTGTTGTACCAGTTCGACATAATACTCAGTACCAGTACTAGTATACTGTAAATAGACGGGGATGTGTTGAAAGAAGTCTCTGGGAGAAAGAAATGAAGTACAGGAGCAAAATGTGCCACCCGGCCTATAGCCTGGCAACAACTCCGGGGGCACCCCATCCATTTGTAACTCTTTCATCGTCGAAGCATCAACAAAACGCTTCTGAACGACGAATGTGATCAGGTTCAAGAATTCTACACACACCATGACACCATGACCGACCCGGGCAACAGGCTAAGAATTGGGCCCGTACTTGTCCGGTCCAGGGCCTACGTTTACATAATTTTTTACAAAATAAAAATAGCCGTGGGAGAGACTCAACAATATTGAAAGACGCACTCGGGGCACACCAACACATAGAAATGAGTTCAGCAACATACATTGCCCATTGTTGGCGAGACGCAAGACCTCGATGCTAGGGTTAGTCGCGTGCGACAAAAAGCGTATGCATTCTACATACGGTCGCCCCGGTGGTCTAGTTGGTATCCTCGAAACCTTCTAGAGGTCAGGTCAGGGGTTCGAATCCCGGCGTAAGCGAGCTTTTCTTGAAAAATGAGTTTTCTCTCGCTTCCGCTCCTGGCCTTGTGGATAGCGCTAGTTCGTGTGTACACAGAGGGAAGAGAGTGCTGAACTATTCTCGCATTAAAAATCGAAGGCAAAGTACCGTAGGAGGGAAGGGTAGAGAGGGACTTTTCTGTGTGACCACGGGTTGGAATAAACGGCACTATTATAGTGCTGTGAGCGCTGATTTGAAGTGAAGACAAAAAAAAAAAAACTCCCTAAAGTCGAATCCATCCATTTGAAATTAAGGAATAATAAAAACACACACAGAAAGACTACCCATTCGAGATATACCCACAGTCGAACGAGATGTACACATGATATTGAAACCATGTTTCGTCCGGCAGAGTGGTACACTGTCACTCAAGTTAGAGGGTTCTTGCAAGGTCGTCTCGATTTGGGCGCCTACCGCAGTCTGAGAAAACCGTCTTGCGTGGCGTTGGCTGCGACTGGTATGCACACACGCAGGAAAAAAACTCACGAGGAAGAAAGGGGACCACAAACAAACTCTGTCCTCTCCTCGAGGCAAGGGCTGCACAAAAAAACAAAACCCGCAGGGGAGATGTCCCTATATGCTGTCTGGGAAACCGTAGACACAGGTACTTTCTGACGCTATGAATTCATTGCTAATCTGTCTCAGACTCTTGATAGAGATGGATTCGTTGTGTCATATTAAGAAAATAAAAAAAAACAGCAAAAAGTGACCCGAAGCAAGCAACCATTCATCACCCCAGAAAATAATTTGGGTACGTGTTGTACAGTGTAGCACAATTGAAGTTGGAGGTCGAGCAAGGCATGTACACATTGATCGACACATCCACCAAGCCACCGCAGACATTGGTCAGCAGACAAATAATCCTGAGACAATTGTATGCCCAGCATGCATAAAGGACGTGCAAGCCCGCGGGCAACACCACAGGCCATAAACGGCATGACCGTTCTGCCCGGCTGCCCTGTGCGCGGGTGTAGCCTTTTCTCGACAAACATAAAGAGACGAAAATGTTCAGGGAACGGCTGGAACGGCTACACACCGAAAATTCGAAATTAAGGGTGTCCCGCCCGCCCGCCAAAACATGGCCAAGCACCAAAGAGAGCTATCGAAACGGGCCCAAACTACGCACACAACGCCGCGCTAGTCAGCTCTCACCTCGTGCCTCTCTCTCGTATAATAGCTGCTATTTCTGACGCAGAGCAGGTTCAAGTTATCGTGTGTTCTCAGTCATAAATCACGCAAACTCGTGTATCATACAACCCCCCCCCCAGACGCACACGTTCGAACAGACAACATGCGCCCAATTTGCCACTGATATATAGATACATAAAGAGTGTTCGTAATACAACCCCCCATCGAGAAAACGGCTCTCTTCTCTCACCGCAATGAAGCCTAGTTAGCGGCCGCCGCTCGCCGGTCTCATGAAGGGGCTCCCGCCAGAGCCGAATACTCTGCACACCAGGTTGCGCCGCTGCCCGCCGTCTCCGACCCTGTCGGAGAGCTCGCAGGACTGAATAATCCTTCCCGAGGACGACAAGACCGGGGACGTCGACATCACCTCGCTGCCGGCGATCGTGAGCGCTCCGACCGAGCTCGCGCGTCGCAGGGACGGTGCCGTAGGACCTGCCGCCGACACCGTCGCCGTTGCCGCGAAGTGGTCGTCCTGGTCGTCCTGTCCCAAGAGCAACGCCGACGTGGAGCTGAGGTGGTGGGGCGAGCCCATCGCAACGACGGCCGGGTTGTGCTCCACGATATATTTCTCGGCCACGCTCCGGTCGCGCATGGTGATGCGCAGGTCCTTCAATCGTTGGGCCTGCGCGCTGGCCGTGCGGTCCATCGTGGGCTCGAGCACGCCGCTGCTGTAGCACCCGGGTGCGGTTGGTATCATCGAGGGGGAGGGGGCGGGCGCGGCCTGCTGCTGAGAGGAACCGCCGACGACGACACCGCTGCTGCTTGCGCCGCGCCGACCCGAGTTGGACATGAACACCGAAATACGGGGAGGGCGCACGGTGCCAGACGTCACATTCGTGGTGACCTTTATCGCTCCACCTGGCGGCGACGCCATTCCCCCCTGCTGCGGCGGCTGACTAGACCCCCCGTGTCTCGCCACGCCAGCCTGTTGCTGCGATACGGCGGGCGCCCAGCCCGCGCTGGCTGTGGTGACGCAAAAGCTGTGGCTTTTCTCCAACCCTTCTTGCTGTGACGATGTTGGCGGTGGACTTCGGTTCATCGAAATGGATGCCGTCGATGACCGGCGCTAATAACAAAGCGAGCACACAGTAGACCAAATAGCGCGTGGGAACACGAATAGAGGCGTAGCGGATGAGCAGGTGGTACATGAGGACACAAGCTTGGCCAGGGAGGAGAGATCATCCTTTGCATAAATAGAAACTAGGAATACGTACGACAAGCTGGGCAGGGCAAAGACTTGAGGAAAACAGCGGAAAAAAACATCCATCACACACACCGCAACGTGGCGCCCCATGTCAGAGTTTTTTTAGGACTCAGCTTCACCCAACGCAGGTACGGAAAAAACGCTAACAAAACAACTTCAATACATGATGGGCGCAACGACATACCTTTATCACAGGGAAGACCGACTCCTTAGACACGAGCGCCTCATCCTCATCGTGCCGCTTTCGAGCCCTGGGCTTGCCCCCGCTCGGCAGGAGCAGGTTTGGGTTCACGCGTTGTGTGGGTTCACTTGACGTTGTTAGAGGCCACGCCTGAATCGGGAGTTGTTGTTGCCCGCCAGGAATCCAGCTCTCCTGCCCGAAGTCGGACACCTTCGGCTGGTGGCCGAACGTGCTGGCCGGTGATGGCGGCCCCTGGAACGCCGAGTTGGTGATGGCCATGTCCTGCTGGTGGTGCTGCTGTTGTGTGTCCTCGATTTCGCAGAACTTGAAAAAATCGCTCGTGCTATTGGGCTCGGCAAACATGGCGTCAAAACCTTCGAACCCGCCAAGGTCGTCCCCGAGCCCCATGCCAATGTCCATGTCCATCCCTTTAATCAGCTGCGAAGGCTCCGTTTCCATGCTCTCTCGCTCGCCTGTCCTACAGCCCACCGATTCAGTATCGCGTCGGGGTGATGGGGAAAAGTGACAATGGCGCTATTTGTATGTGTGTCGGGTTGTTGAGGCGGCAACTGAACTTGGTTTGTATGAGCGGGGGGGGATACGCGAACTGGCATTTTTTCCCAATTTATTGCTGGCTCCCAGAGCACCTAGACAATTCTGGAGTAGTTTTCTCGAGAAATCGGGAAACAAACGCGGAACCCTCCGGTGCGGCTGGTGATTGGCCAACAGATTTCTTGATTATGAAACGTCCGGCCAGCTAGCGACTGGTCCGACATTTTTCGAGATCGCCAGATCCCAAAATCACGATGGTCTCCACGTCAGTGTAGGACACCACCACGACACCCCGCAGTGTAAAGAACAGCGCAGTCATCAGTAGTGCATGAAGTGTGCCGGCAAGAGTTGGCTGCCGCCATCATCAGGCAGGATGGATTCGACAGCTCGATGGAGATGAATCATGCAGATGGGAGATGGGAGCGTTTACAACTATGTACGTTCAGATAGATGAACACTACAGTACATAAACACGAAAGACCGCACAGACGAAAGACCGCACAGACAGCGCCGTCCAATATTTCTCGTCCTGTGTCATTCCGATAATCGCAGTATACCCAAAGCAGTAAGAGTTATTTTGTCTTCCTGACATGCGTACAACCTGTGCATCTCCGTTCCCATGTTCTCTGTCGAAGAAGAGCAGGTTGTAAATAAAGTAAAATATATTTTTCCTAAAATAGATAGATAGCTTATCCGCTGAGACGAGAGTATAGAGGAGGGTAAAACAGTTTTTTTTGTACCGCATCAATCAGTAACGGACGCCCTCACTTGAGGACGGATGGATGGATGCTCGACAACACGCTCGGCGATACATGTATGTATGTACGTGCATATTATATGCATGCATAGATGCGGAAGATCTTGATGGTGGGAACGCGTTGGAGTCGGATGGATGTGCGCGGTGCGAAGGAGTCCATAAACTCTACATTAGGCTAAGTAGTTGTGAGGGTTTAGGCATGATCATCGTATGTCACGCAGAGGGAGAGTACAGCTGTTTTAGACCATGCCCCAGAGAGAGGTGTGTGGGTACCTACCTGTGGATTGCGGGTTCCTCATTGTTCTGCCTTGATATGTTTGATGAGTGTGGCCGTGGGGACGTGCGGGGTAATACTGCATGTATGTAATGTATGTACCTGCTGTGCTCTCCTAGTGCTGTGCTGCGACCGTTGGTACTGCTGCTGCTGCATCATTCTCTCCTCTACCTACCATCTACATCATTCTTTCCCCTACCTACATGGATGCATAGTCTTGCCACACCACCATCTATCTTGTCAGAGCACAGACCGTTCTCTCTGGGAAGACACCTTCTTCGAGGATGGCTGTCGAAATCGGAGATACTGATTACTTCTAACTTTGTTTTATAGGCAACTGTTGCTGCGAGTTTGGAAACGAGCCAAAACCAGTACTAAATGCTGCATTACACCTACCTGCTGACTACTATAAATAGATATCTAAAGTTACTCAGTCAGCGAGCGACAAGAGACTTCTGTACAATCTTCATCGCAGACCTCCAATCACGCCGAAAAATATTAGTAGTTTCAGAGCCGGCTTTCCAACAAACGACTATTGTTGTACTCCTACTTGGTTGGATAGACTACCCGCCTCTCTCTTCCCATGTCCTGGGGTGCGTGACTGAGAGTCTTGACAGGTGAAAGGAAATGAAAACAAAACTACAAGGGACGTGTCGTAGACGTTTTTCACGCGGGCTCCTATCACAGTTTGGTGGTTTCGTTCTTTCAATATATATTTGAATGTTGCCTAAAGAGGTGGTGCATACTGTCGAGGTGCCACTTTGAAAAAACTTGTTCCACACTCTGACGCTATAGATGAGAACTAAGCCCAACGCGGCGACTGCAAAGTAAAAGCAAGCGTAGCGGGGAGGAGAGGGGGGGTGATCCCCCAAAAATGAATGTTGTGGGGGGGGAGGGTTGGGTGTTCTCATGTAAACGCATGCCGTAGTTGTTGAACTATTGACCTTGTATCCCTATGATGCCGGGACGGAGCCATATGCATGCTGGGTTTTCGCCGGCCCGGGCTACGTTTCACAAGGATGAACCAGAAGCTGGTCATCGTCCTTGCGTTCGCTGTGCCCAAACCAGATACATTCGCCATGGGTTGATTTGGCATCCCGGCTAACCAAACGGTTCGTCAGGCACGACTACGATTCAAGTACCGCAAGGGACAACGATCTTTGCGCGCTTATTCACAACAGGCCCGACGAAAACAGCGAACACGTCGCTTCGTGTGTGATACACTTGGAAGAGTACAATGTAGTTGGGGGCAGGGGGGGGGGGTGGAGGCGCGCCAAACTGAAACCCTTCAAAGCTCGGGCTATCAGAGAGAGAGGTTGCTTGGAGTTTGGGGGCGACTCGTTTTTGCTGGCTAGGGCCGTCGGACAACCTCTACGTTTGGGAAGAAGCAACGTTTAAGTAGCGCATGACCGGCGTGTTGTGACGGCCTAAAGGGCTGGGGGGTAGCCATTGAAACGGTTGGTTTACGACCACCACCCATGCCGTACTGGTTTTGCCTTCTCGAGTAGGGTACCATGTCGATGGCGGTGGG